AAAGCCACTTATTCTAGGTAGCCATAGATGTTATATTTTGGATGAATTAAAAGTTTATCTAAATTCTCTTTTAATGCCAAGGGTATAATGTTTATTCACAAGAAAAGGAACAGAAAAGTAAAATGGATGTTTTGTTTGAAAGGGATCGAAAATTTAGCATACAAATGCTTTTCAATATGAATCCAAACAGGAGATAGATGACGTCTCACTGCCTTGAAGGAGACCTGGTTAGCATTGAGCCGCTAACTGAAGAGTCAGCAGTTCAGACTCACCAGCAGTCCACAGGAGACCGTGCCTGACCATCTGCTCTCATAACGACTGGAGCAGGGGAACCTATGGGGCAGTTTCACTCTGTCCTTGAGGGTCACCGAGTGTCAGAATGGATTCCATAGCAAACAAGAACAACATCATTGTGTTATAATTGCTTTGTATCTATTTCCATATCTATATTGGTCTCTACATACACGGGCACTCACATGTGTATGTGTATTTATAATGCACCAGGAAGGCTGGCCAAGAATTTATGCATTTTCATTATGTAGTGGTGGAGAAGAGTGAAAGGACTACGTCCTGCCAGAAGGATAAACACACCTGTCTTGGAGAAAGCAAACCCAAAGGTTCCGAGAAGGGAAGAGTACTGATACTTCCCTTCACACGCTTTGCACATGTGTCTCAGAAGAGAAAGTCCCTAGAAAGGGACTTCATGCATGGAAAAGTACACGGGCAGCACAATGAGGAAAAGCTTTGAGAAGATGGATTAATATAATGGCTGCAACAGTGGGCTGGAGGATAACAATGATTTTGATGGTGTGGTGTTGCAGCCTCAGACGATATTTTGTCATCCATCTGAGTCATCCAAAAAAGCTGACTATTAGTCTATTCCAGCTAGATTCAAAAGAAGACATGGAACAAAGGGTATCTTGCTGGTGCCAGATGGATCTTGGCTCGAAGCACAGAATACCATAAAGATGCTTGCAAGTGTATGCAAAGGCAATTTACTACATCGCTCATAACGAACTATGGATGACCTTGCGAAGAACCGAAATTCCAGAGCACTTCCTTGTGTTCATAGGGAACTTGTCCATGGATCAAGAAGCAGTTGCGTAAACAGAACAAGGGAATACTGAATGGCTTAAAATCAGGAAAGATGTGTGATAGGGTTGTGTCCTCTCATCATATGTATTCATTTCAGTCTATATGCTGAGCAAATCATCAGAGAAGCTGGATTATATGAAGAAGAGTGCAGCATTAGGCTTGGCGAAAGGCTTACTAACAACCTGTAGTATGCAGATGACACAACATTGCTAAAGTGAGGAGGACTTGGAATACTTGCTGATGAAGATCAAGGATCGTCACCTTCAGTCTGGATTACAACTCAATGTAAAGAAGACTAAAATCCTCACAACTGGCCCAATAGGTAGAAGCATGATCAATGGAGAAAAACTTGAAGTTCTCAAGAATTCTGTCTAACTTGGATCTACATCAATGCTCATGAAAGCAACAGTCAAGATATCAAAGTACACATTACATTAGGGAAATCTGCTGCACAAGACCTCTTTAAAACACTGAAAAGCAAGGGTTTTACTTTGATGAGTAAGGAGTGCCTGACCCAAGCCATGGTATTTTCAATTGCATCACATGCTTATGGCAGTTGGACACTGAGTAAGACTGAAGAAGATTTGATGCATTTGATGGGTGGTGATAGAAAAGAATACTGAAAGTACCATGGACTCACACCAGCCTGACTGACCATGAGGTGCAGAAGGGACCAGTTATCAGACATCAAAGAATTGAAAATCAGATCAGTGGGTGCCCACCTTCCTGATATGATCACTGAAGACAAACATGTGCATAAGCAAAGGTGGTGAACAAAACTGATGGTGCCCGGCTATCAAGATATACAGCGTCTGGGGTCTTAAAGGCTTGAAGATAAACAAGTGGCCAACTGGCTCAGAAGCAACAAAGCCCACTTGTAAGAAGCACAACAGCATGTGTGACCACGAGCTGTCGAAGGGATCAGGTATCAAGCATCCAAGAACAAAAACTCATATTGTAAAGGTGGGTGAGTGCAGAGTGGAGACTCAAAGCCCATCGGTGGGCAACTGAACACCCCCTTACTGAGGGGTTGTGGGGAGGAGATGAGCCAATCAGGGTGCAGGGTAGCAATGATGAAACATATAACTTTCCTCTAGTTCTTTAATGCTTCCTCCCCCCTAATATCATCATCCCAATTCTACCTTACAAATCTGGTTGGACCGGAGGATGTACATTGGTATAGCTAGCAACTGGACAAAAAGGGAATCCAGTATAGATGACTCCTTCAGGACCAGTGTTGAGAGGGGTGATGCCTGGAAGGTGAAGGGAATGTGGGATAGAAAGGGGGAACCAATTACAAGATTCTAAGTATTGCCTTCTCCCTGGGGGATGGACAGCAAAGAGGGCAGAGGGAAACATCGGACAAGGTAACTTATGACAAAACTAATAATTTATGAACTATGAAGGGTTCATGAAGGAGGGAGGAGGGAGGGGGGACATGAGTAACTGATATTAGGGGCTAGAGTGGGAGGCAAATGTTTTGAGAATGAGGAGGGCAACAAATGTGCATATGTGTTTGACACAATGGATGTATGTATGGATTGTGATAAGAATTGTACGAGCCCCCAGTAAAATAATTTTTTAAAAAAAAGAAAGCAGATGTATGTTGTAAGAAATCAGGGAAGAGTGCCCCTTAGAGGCAAGTATGGCAGACTTTTTCTAACATATTTCGGACATGTTATCAGGAGAGACAGTCTCTAAAGAAGGCCAGCATGTTTGGTAAATCAGAGGAGCAGTAAAAGGACAAGGGCCGTCACAAGGTGAACGGACACAGTCGCTGCCACCAGGGGCTGCGAGGCTGGCGCAGTACTGTGTGGAATTGTGTATCAGGCCACCTTGGGCTGGAACTAGGGCCCTGGAATGTGCCAACAATAGCATCAAATTCCTGTGGGGATTTAAAGTATTTTCTGCTCTTTGTGATAATTACGAGCCAGAATTGAGTCAATGGTGGTGAGTATGTATAAAGGAGTCTTGGTGATACTGTGGGCTGAGCATTGGGCTACGAACCGAATATTAAAAATAAACAAATAAATATAAAATTCAATATATTATTATAAAAATGTGATCATATCTACAGCATATGTATGCATGCTTATATGTGTGTATACATGCACAGATGTATGTGAACATATACATACTATATATATCCATATAAGTGTATAATAGCTTTAGAGGGAAGCTCTATGAATTTAACTGGAATTCAAAAGAGCAAATAAATACAGACATTGATTAAACTGGAAAACTGTCTATCAATTGAAAATCAAATTAATACTATATCACTGATATTTGAAAGAAAATTAAACCACCTGATGTAGTAGAATCCAATTAAATTAGTACATACTAATTTAAAATACATGTGTCTTTTTTGTTTGTTTCTTTAGTTTCCAAAGTAAATGTTTTCAAGATTTTATTCAGGCTAACAACAGGTTCTTGAGAATCTTAAGAAAGTGCAAATCTTGATTCATTAGGTGGTAAGATGCAGAGCCTGCATTTCTGACAGGCAACCAGGTGATGCCGATACTGCAGATCTGAGGACCTCATGTTCAATATCAAGGTCTTTCAATGTTGTGCAAACATCAACCTTAAATAGGCTCACCTGATTTCTTTGTTTATGGCATCCAGCTGTTCCTGAAGCATCATGGCTAGTGTCTGGGCATCAGAATGACCACTTGGAGAGAGAAGATCCATTGAGCTAAATATGGTTTCTCTGTCATCATCATCAATATCAGACATTTCAGTATCACTTTCAAAATGGTGGCTGCTTAGCACTCCAATTTGTTGAGTTCTATTCCACTCATGATCCCCAAGAGACTTCACCTGAATAATACATGAGTAATGTAGAGTATTGATCATATTGTTCATTTTCAACGTACTACTCCATAAAGCAAGAGAAAAAAAGGCACGCATGCTTTTACAGGTGATCTGGCAAAGGCAGAAACAATTATTAACACATTAATTTACTAATCAATGGAGTTGAGCTTTCGAGAACTTAGGTAATACTAGGCAATAATTGTCATGATAAATATCCAGATTTTAGTATGCTAAAAGATGACAAACTTCTTTATGAGTTCTTGTGAAATCTATATCTGCAACAACATTTCTTTAAGGCACTTACATTTGCAACATATTTTTATTTCCAAATAACCCTAATTTGATCCACTTGAATTTCTATTTCATGCACTATTTGTTATATATATATATATATATATTCTTTAATGTAGATAGCAGTCATCAATATTAATGCAACAAATTGCATAAGGATTTTCTCCCCACCATTAATTTGCTTAGGTTTTAACAATATATTACAAAAGTATTGCAAAGTAATTTAATTTCTTCTTCACTGCTTTTGTCAATAAATGCCAAATTGATTTTGTCAGCCAGAGTATACCAATTTACATGACTGGTTTTAATTCATAAAATAAATTTGTCATAGAATGGGAGTTTTCAGTAATCTGTAAATTAATGGGTCTTACACTGTGATATGGAAAGTTGAACTGGATAGATGAAGGAGGTCCTGTCATTTTCTGCAGTTTAATAAACTGATTTTCATTTTTGTCATCATATAACATCATCTGCAGGACTCATATTATTCTCAGTATTAATGTACTTTTTGAGGACCTATAACGACATTGTGTTCAATTTGGGGGTACCTATTAGACTAATTTATTTGTCCCCTAAGGATATGTTTATGAGGATATAATAAATCAGAAGGAAGTGAAAGAATGCAATCAAAGTCACTAAACTGTACATGGAGAAACTATTGAACTGGTGTATATTTATTCTGTATATTCTTAGCCACAACCACAAAATAAGTAAAATCAGAATAAATGAATGATAAGAGTTGAGAGAGATTTTATTTATTCTTCATTTGTTTACTTACATTTCCCCTTTGAAGGAATGTGGAATGCCTATTATGAGGAATTAATTTATACATGACTTACTGGGGCCAATTAGAAACAAAGGATAACAGAATTCTGTGAATAAATGAGTGTGTGTATATGAAATAGTATTCTGGACACAACAAATTGATTGCACTAAACAGAATATATTTAGGAACATAGGAACTATAACACTTCCTTATGAAAGACAACTATGTACCTACTCAAAATGCGTAGTTTACCAATTTTGCGGAATTGTCTAAAAGAACAACTGGCATCACAGTTCTCTAATCATGCTTTCCATTCTCTGGGTACATTTTTCTCCAAGTATAATTAAAGTAGTAATTTTAATTAAAATACTTATTTATATTTTATTCATAATATGAATATTGGTGCTTATGTACCTGAGGAAACCAAAAGGTAATGTTTGGTAATATAGGATTAATGTTTTTAAGTGTAAAAATAAATAAACCACATCATCACATCACATGTATAATGTTCATGTGTTACATCACATCACAATATAATGTTTCATGAATATTTCTCCTGTTTCCTATTTTTTATCTACTTTTTGGTCAAAACTTTATAGTTATGTAGATAAATGCATCCACTGTGTAGGACATCCTCTCACACATAGTTGGTATGGAAGCTTCATAATTTCATGTCAACTTGAAGATGCACAAAGGAGCCCTAGGGTTTAATAGTTAGCGTTGGCCTGCAATTTGCAGGGTTGGCAGTTCAAAACCACCAGCAACTCCGAGGGAGAAAGACTGGGCTTTACACTCCCATAAAGAGCTTCAGTCTCGGAAAGGCACAGAGGGGTGGCTATGAGTCAACATTGCCTCGAGGGCCGAGAGTGACGTTGTCTGAAAGTGTTGGGGTGGAAATCAACCTGTCAGTCTAGTCACAACCGGATGGTGCCTCCTTGGGGACATGGTCTTCTCGTAAGGGGCCCTGGGGAATCTCCCCCGCTTGCCTTTCCCTTCCTGCTTGCTAACTAAGGGCCCAGAGAGCTGTAGAAGCCCCACCACGCTTCCACCGATCACGGGTACACCGCCTTTACACCAAGTGGCCTGTGACCTTCCTACCTTTTGTGTCATTGCTTGTGGCTAAGTTAGTGTGGAGAGGGACTTATGGACTAGTATTGGACTTAGGGACTTGAGTTGAGTTGGACTGGGCTGGGATATTTTCTTGATATATAATTACTTCTTGCTATAAAGTTCTGTCTTATACATAAATGAGTGTCACTGGATTGGTTTCTCTAGTCAACTCAGCCAAACAGTTTGAGTACACATTAAATGTTTTTTTTTTTTTAAAACATGTATCTATCCTAAGGTTCAAAAATCCCTGCTGGTGGCATATTGGTTATGCATTGGGCTGCTAACTGCAAGGTCAGCAGTTTGAAACCACTAGCCAGCTCCACAGGTGAACGATTGGCTTTCTACTCCCTAAAGAGTTACAGTCTCAGAAACTCATAGGCACAATTCTACCCTGTGCTGTGGAGTTGCTGTGAGTCAGCATCAAATGGATGGCAGAAAGTTTAGGGTTTTGGGATCCTAGGACACATTTGAAACTAATAAAAATAATATGATCTTTAATTCTTTCCGTGCTAAAATTCCAATCAAAATGAAATATTAAATGTGTTTAATACTATGAAGGACTTGAAACTAAAAAAGCCCACCTTTGGCTCATCTCTTCGCACGCCCATGCGGCCTCTTCTTGGTCTTCTTATTACTTTCGTTGTTCTGTAATCTGACGGGCTGTCCACTAGTGAGCCCACTGAATACCGCAACTCAGCAGAGGTGTCCAGATGAGTTCTGTTGAAAAAGGGAAATGTCACATATATCTAGTCCAAAAATTAAATTCATCAACAAATTATCATTCCCTATTTAATTGACCATAAAGAATAATCCCTCAAGGGATAAACATTAAAGGAGATTGAAAAATTGTCATTAATGCTTTGATGCCTTTCCAGAGATTTATGCCAATAATTCAGGAGCAGGCTCATTCACTAAGGTCAGTTTACTGTCTCCTTTTAGAATATACCTGCAATCTTCCTGTTCAATAATTATTATCATTTAAAAATGTATCAGTGAATTATGTTAAGATTAATAACTGGTGTCCCAATATGTATTTCCTAGTGTATTTACTTTAGGTATTTCTCATTAATGTCACTGAAAATATATATATATTGCCCCTTATATGTTCAAATTTTTTAAATTTGAGGGAAATTTATTCACATCTTTATATTCCAATACCAGTTTAGTGATTCAACAATAAGCTTACAATTAGAATTGGCCTAAGCTTAATACCCTTATTGTTTTAATAAAATTGGATGTTACTATGAGAACAATTGTTCAGCTTTGAAAAGATAGTCTTCAAAAAAGATAAAGAAAAACCATTGGAAAAGCACATTTGATTCTAAAATTTGCTTCAAAGCAAAACAGTTGGAAAATTCCAATTGGAAAGTATTATCACACTGGTTTTCAATAAACATGGCAATAAAGTATACTGTAATCTAAGTGCAGAAATGACTTCCCCAGGCATATTATTTAGATTTTGATTTATGGAAAATTTAGTTTATTGCTATAATAATGATGGTGCTAACATCAGGGACAACATGCTGTCTTATGTAATGAAGGAACAGATCCATCATCTCTAGGAACTATGCTTAAAGCAGTTTCTGATGAACTTGCTTCACCCTAGGACATTGTAAAGCTTAGTTCTCTTTCTTCAAGTGAACAGTGAGATGCATTTGCAAATATCTGGCTGTGTTGAAACGTCTACATGGGGTGTAGGTTTACAATAGTAAAGAATCTGCTCTAATTGATTCAAGGTCTTGCAAAGACTCCAAATGAGATCTTAGACTCCAGAAAGCAGAATCAGCCCCTAAAAAGAGGATAGCCAATGTTTATATAGTAGGAACATTAAGTCTTTATGAGGACAAGTCACAAATAAAATGTAACCTACCAGGTATTATTCATAAATGGCATAACTCCAAATCTTTATCTTTTAGGCATTCACTGAACATATTTTGGGTGAAGGGTGGGGAGGGAAGGGGATGGTCCAAGCCAATGCCAGACCTCCAGATTATTGCTTATACTTTATAAAAATAATGGTTTTAGACTCATTTTATTAAGCTCTCTGATTTGATTAATAGAAGAAAACACTAATATTTCTATGCTAATTCAAGTTTCTAAATCCAGAAGCCTCATTGGAGAAATACAAGGCAATCTGCTTTTTAAAGAGTATAGCCAAGAGAAGGCTATACTGAGAAGCTATATTGAGAAAAAGCTATATTGAGAAGCTTTTTGGAGGTATCAATAGTTACCATTTATTCGGCAGTCCTTTAGTACACCAGCCATGCGACTGGCTAGTAACCTGCTAAGATCCTATTGCTATTGAGTCACCTTCGACTTATATTGATCCTAGTACTAACATGCATATGTAATTTGTTGATTGGATAATATTCATTCTATTAATTTGCTTTTTAGGTATTCTAACAGGCCTTCTCCTGGTCCTCCACTATTGTTATTATCATCATCAGCATATAAACGCATCACAAAACAAATGGTTTTAATTCATGCAGGTATTTATCTGAATAAAAATAGAAAAATAACCATGATTTTCCAAAATACATAATTTATATCTTTATAAGTTCTTTGGGTGTTTTTATACCAGAAAACTGTTTCTTATGTTAAATTATAAGAGGTCATAACCAAGGATATTTCTCTGATCACATTAAGAATTAGGACACAATCACATTTATGTAGAACAAAAGACTGATGCCTTTTCCTGTAATGAGATGCAGTATATTTATTACAGTCCAATTTCATCCTTTAAGTATACTTATACCTCTGTTTACCTATATATTAATTATAGAACAAGAATGTTACTAAAACTGTATTACATGTTATTACAATTGTATTACATGTCAACATGAGGGATTTTATGTTAACTAAATTTACATGTTGAAATTATAAATTACTAAAGAATCAAAATTGGTAAGACAACTAGGGAATAGGAGGCAATTGATTCTTTTATTTGAGGAAATATGAAATCATAAGGAAATTCGTATTGAAGTTCAGTGTACTATGGATAAGCTTTTAATCTAATGTTACCTCGATATTGCAGGTTCAATTAATGAGCCAGTTCTCATTTTCATTTGGTCAAGTTCAGATCTCAGTTTTTCAATTTCATCTGCTAATCTTTCCTAAAAAAAAAAAAAGGATTATTTTTTACATAATGTGCAAGAATACATGAATTCACTCACAACCAAGCATGCTTAAAAAAAAGAGAAATATGATGCACCCATTTCTGCTAAATATCACTGACTTAGACTGTAAAATATTATGCCTGAAATTACTCATTGGAATGAAAATATGAACAATAAAATATATTTATGTTGGTTTAACATAACATGGTTTAACAGATCCTAAAGTTATATAAACTTAAAGGAATATTATACTCAAGATGAGCTATGTATATATCACTTTTAAATGCAGAGTACAAATCATAGCTACTTTTAAAAGAAGAGAAACTTATATGCACTAGCTAAATTTTTCATTATTCTATGAGAGCGGAAGGACACATGATAAAAAAAGAAAAATTGGACCAACAAAACTCATCATTTTTAAGCAGATGACAGTCCTGTGTCAGTTTGGCTGAAGTGGGGTTCTCAGTCGTTTGGCGGTTCCGGCCTACACATCCCCCATTATGTGACCTAAGAAAACATAATCAACTCCAGAATGGGATCTGTTATGAGCAGCCCATCAGTTGTAAGACATTGAAGGTGGAACATGAACCCCCTACTCAGGTCACAGTTCTGATGCAATTTGTAAGAATTTTCGGGCGGTTGTGGCCTACTTCCTTTATAATTGAAACCTATGGAAATCTTTGCTTTTGGGTGTGTCTTGGATCCTGAATCTACCGCATCAATCCCCAATTCTATGCATCTGAGCCAATTCTATGCATCCCCAATTCTATGCATCTGAGCCAATTCTATGAATCCCCAATTCTATGCATCTGAGCCAACAGCTTACCATCTGACCTGCTGACCTTTGATTTATCTGTCTCTGCAGGCATTAGGATGTGTTCTTGCTGCCTACCTTGGGTTCATCAGTCCCAGAAACTACACAAGTCAGGAGAAATCTCCAGTTTAACATCTGACCCATGGACTTAGACTTGACTCAGGCTATACTTGTGTCATCCATTTTCTGAATATAAATTCATCTTTATCTCTCTCTCATCTATCTATCTATCATCTATCTATCATCACGCTCTATCTCTATCTCTGTCTTTTGTTTTTCTTATCTTTTTAATGGTCACTCTCTTCAAGGACCACTGGCATAGTGGTTCCCATGTTGGATGCTAAACACAAAGTCAAAAGTTCAAATCCCCAAGCCACTCTGTAGGAGAAAGATGAGGCTTTTTATTCCCGTAAAGAGAAACCAAGAGGGGCATCTCTATCTTGTCCTACTGGGTTGGTTTGAATCAGAATCAACTCCAGATCAGTTAATTTGATTTTGGTTCTTGATTTTTTTCATATATGTCATCTCACAACTCTTTAGGTCTTCCATCATTATTGTTCAGTGTGTCAAATCTATTCTTTGGATGTTTTCAAAATTCAGGTGGAATACAGTCAAGTCATATTTTGACTTGTGGATTTGTTTTAATTTCTTCAATGACAGTTTCAATTTTCATACGAGCAACTGGCCTTATTTTGGCTGCTAGTATTGATTTATTTTTCAATTTCTCTCCCTAAACATGTAGTCGATTTGATTCCTCTGTATTCCTTCTGGCAAGCTCTAGGTATACAGTTACCATTTATATTGCTTAAAAAGGTCTTTTCAATGATGTTATTAATCTTGTAAAATTATATCTTTCAATATTGTTTTGTTTCTATAACCAAGTCCACATTTTCCAACTATTTTCCCTTCCTTTTGGTTTCTAAATTTTGTATTCTAATAACCAATAATTGTCAATGTATTTTGATTGCAGGTTTGAGAAATTTCACATGAGAGTAGTTGATAGAATTAACTATCTTTATTACTAACATTATGGTTGTAGTGTATATTTGAATAACAGTTTTATTAGCTGGACCTCCTCTTTTGTGTATAGATATTATCCTATCATAAACAGCATTGTAGTTTAAGATAGATCTTAAACTGAGCCAATTTTGACAATGCATGCAATATCATTACTCTTGAATTTGTCATTCCTGGCTTAGTAATCCATCATCCCCTGATTAAAATGGCCAATATTGATCTTCATTTATTCTGTTTCATTTTTCATCACCTTGAATTTTCGCAGAACTATATTTCATACAGTCTAACTTCCAATTAGTAATGGAGATTTTGCAGCTGTTTATTTGCATTTTGATATATGCCCATCAGCAAATGTAGGTCTGGCAAGTTCTACTCCATCAGCATCAATCAAGTAGACCCTACTTGGAGGAGGCTGCTCTTCCCCAGGCCCATTTTGACCACCTTCCAGTGCGAAGAGCTCATCTTCAGGGACTAGAGCGAACATGGTGCAGCAGCCATTCATAAAGGTTTCAGTAGCTAATCTTCCAAAAGAAAGCAGCCCAATTCCATTTTTGGCTATTTATCTAACAATTTTCTGCTTATATTTATAATGTTTTTGTGCTTCGCACTCAGAAGTCAATGAGGCCCTTTATAATCTTTCTGGAAGCTCTGCTGAAACCCATTCACATTGAGTGAGCCTGTTGGTATTAAAAATGCTAGTGATACAGCTTCCAGCATCTTGGCAACACTCAAGCCACCACAGTATGATGAAATGACCGACAAGTGGTTGAAATCTATCTGTCTGTCTGTCTATCTATCTATCTATCTATCTATCTATCTATCTATCTATCTATCGACTGTATTTCTTCCAGTACAGATTTGTTTGTCCTTCTTGCTTCCTCTGGTACTTTCAGTACTCTTCACTAGCACTATGATTCAAATGCATTATTTTTTTCTGGTCTTCCTTAATCACTATCCAGCTTTAATAAGCATATGAGTATATGTGTATCAAATATTGTTTTCTTCACTTATAAAGTATATGATGCAAATGCAGTAGTGTTTTTCAGCTGTACACATGTTAATGGTATAATTTTGGTCTAAATATGACTTTATACTGGTCTTTATTTAGCGATAATGTGTGGTTTAAGAGATATGCAGAGGGTTAAAGTTGTGTTTTGCGGTTATGATTTACTCACTCCCCATGACAAGATCTGATGTAGTATCAGATGCCACGCATCATGGGTTTTCATTATGAGGTCAATCAGAATGGGTTCCTCAGGGGTATGGCCTTCTTCCGATATATATGGACCTGATGGCGAATCTCACTTGCTTTGTTGTTTTTTGGACCTGAAGACTGCATGTGGTATGTCATCCTCTGACCTCCAGTTCTTTGAATTTAAGACGTTAGCCTTCCATATCACCCATTGATTTTGGTTTTGTCAGTCTCTGTAAGTCTGTCATCTGACCCACAGATTAGGGACTCTCCAGACCCTGTAATGATATGAGCTGTTTCCTTGAGATAAATCTATACATATGAAAATCCCTCAAAAAGCTTATGGCAAATAGAATGAAAAGATAATGGATTTTCCTCAAAAATTTCTGAAGCCTTTTCGCACATAGGTAAACTTCCCTAGCTTTGCTTCTCTAGAAAACCCAGCATAGGACTCTCACTGAAGTAGACAGCACTAAGGGGAAAGACCCCAGACAAGATGGATTGACACAGTTGTTTCAACAATGGGCTCACATCAAGCCACGATTGTACAGATGGCACAAGGCCACGTGATGTTTCACTCTGTTGTATATAGGGTCACTAGGCAATGCAGTGGACTCAGTGGCGCCTTACCACAATAATAGGAGATATAGTCAATTTAGGAAATATAGTCTGCTGTATGGGATAAGAGATTAGGAATGAGGTTTGGTCTGTGATTTTCTTCCTCTGATTACTTAAATATGTAAGAAGGCAAAGCATGACCTGAGACACATTCTTGGTTGCCTGGGCAGATTGTTGAAGCTATAAGACTTGGGTAGCTGGTTGGGGAGTGGGTTCTGGGGATATTGCCAGGAACACACAGAGCTCTGGATTGCACACCATTGCTTAACAATATCAAGTCCCAACTTCAAATCCAGATATAATCTATTTCTTCAAACAGATACCAGGCACATCAAATTTTACTGATGTCTGAAACAAACCAACTTTGTTTTCTTTATGTTATTGAATATTTGGTTTCTTCCTACAAAGTCTTTACTTTTTCTCTGCTAATACTATATTCATCTTCAAGAACATCCTGCTAAAATTTTCGGCACTCTGACTGCGGAGACTAAGTAGATTAGTTTTCATTCTTGTTGCCATCATGACATATAGCATTGGATACAGTGAGGTGTACAAGGGTCATCTCTTGCTTTTGCTCCCTTATCTTTCCCAATGTCTTCTAAATAACATATTCTCGCCAGACCTTTCTTTCTTTCCCCCTTTCTTCCTCCTTCCCTACTTCCTCCTCCTTTCCCTGCCTTCTTTCTTTTCTTCCTTTAATCACACCCTCCTTTTGTTTATTCGTTAAATAAACTAAGGCAAAAATCACTAATATAGGGATTTCATAGGCTAATGAAGGAGGAAAGACATATTAGCAATTTCTGTAGCGTGCGATTTCAGAGTGGAGCAGAAATAAAGACACAAACACAGGAAATGTAGTTCAGCACCAGCGAAGGGCTGACACCTCCGGCTGTGTGTCACCCTGATGGCCGCCCTGCATGGTCTTTGATTCTCTCCGCTAGCTGGGGCATGGGTTAGTAAGCACGGATGCACTTCCTTAAGGTAAACAAAGAACAAGGGACCAGACTATAAACTATTATGTATCTAAGCTCTAGGTTCTGAAAACCAAACTGCTTTCTCAGGGAGCACAAGGTCTAGTCCTTGAGAAGGAACACAGTGCCTTCAGTTATGTCCTGTTCGAAGAACTGCATCCAAGCTTTTTTGCGGCTCAGGTGCCCAGAACCACCCTCAAGTGCAAGGGGTATCTGGTGTTCATGGGAACAGTGCAAAGCCTTCAGCCTCTGTTTACTCCTTGGGGAGCAACAAATTACAGCTTATGAGGTTTCACTATCTGATCCTTACCTTTCTTTTTTACTACATACTATAATAGGAATCACTGATTGTAACTAAAACAAGCACACGTAACATTATTTAACACATGTATTACTCACCCTCTACCCTGAAGACAAATACCAGTGATCATATCATGTGTCATGAGTTTGATCATCTTGCAGCAGTGCTTTATTCAAATCCGGCCTCCCTGATTTGAAGAATATTCTTCATAGCAGCACCTTCATAACAGGTGGTAGATCTTCTGCACACTATGCCCATTTGGCACTAGGCTTCTGCTATCTTATATCCTCATTGATTTGTCAAAGGTATAGTCTCTCTCCCCAGTTAGATTCTTTAGCTACTTTGCAACTGGGATAATGTTTATAACAAGATAATGAGCACAACTGGACCAATAAATAGGACCATGATAAATGGAGAAAAGACGGAAGTTGTTAAGAATTTCACCCACAATCAGTGATCATGAAAACAGCAGTCAGGAGATCAAACAACACATTGAACTGGGCACATCTGCCTGTCACACAAGAACTGTTTTAAGTGTTGAAGACCAAGAAGGTCACATTGAGGACTAAGGTGTATCTTGACCCAAGCCACAATACTTTAAATCACAACATGTATAAGAAAGTTGGACGATGAGCAGGAAGACAGAAAATAAATTGATACATTTGAATTAATATTCTGATAAAGAATATTGATATGTACTTCCAGAAGGACACGCAAATCTTTGGAAGAAATACAGTTATAATGGTCCTTACAAATAAAGATGGTGAAACACCAACTCACATACTTGGGGATTATCAGGAGAGACCAATTCTTGTAAAAGGGTATCATGCCTGGTAAAGTAGAAGTTTAGCATAATAGTGGAAGTACCACAAGGAGATAGAATGACACAGAGGCGGCAGCTATGGTCTCCAACATAACAATTGTGAGGCTGTGGCAGGCCGCAGCGGGGTTTCATGTTGTTGTCCACAGGATCTCTATATGTAAGAATCAACTCAACTGCACATCACAACAGCAACATTACAATTTTTACATATAATTAAAAAGCTCTCCAAAGTCACTGCCACCCAGTTGATCCTGACTCAGAGAAGTTGATCCTGACTCAGAGAAGTACTATATGATATGGTCAAGAAACCCTCTGGGTTTCGAAGACTCCAGGTTTAATATAGTTTTCCTAAGATCGTAGCTTAATCTTGACTTAAATAAGTACATACATTTTAATTCCATTTATATAAACTGAAAAGCAAGGTGAAATGTTTTTCTATTTGAAATCAATGCAGTGATTATCCTTGGAGGGCTGATTCATGACTGAATGTCAAGTGCAGGTGTGTTCCATGTGGTTCATTAAGAGTGCATTTAACTGGAAAATTACTTTAACTCTCCACAAACATATATACACTTTCCTGCATATGTATTTGAATGTATTTTTTTAGATTCTTATTTATCAAATTTCTTTTACAACAAATATCCTTTAAAAGAAAAAGGAGCTAGAATGTAATTTTCCATAATACCTTATCATGCAAAGATTCCTCAAGGTTCTTCCTGAAAGTTTCTGATTCTTGAATTAAAACATTCTACAGAAAAAAAACACAGATGTTATTTGTGGATTAAGAAAACAATGATAAAGAAATACATTTATGTTTAATCACTCAAGAATCTTTAATTCCTTCCATGAGGCATAAATTTCTTGGTTTCTATGGACACCAATTTCAATGAGATATTTTAAATATTCACCTCAGTATTTCAGGAAACATTTAACTAATATTAAAGTTAATTTTTTATTATTTTAGAATTGGATTTATGGAATGAATATGATACTTTAAGCTATAGTGGTTTGGCTTTCCTCAAACTACTTTTATTATAACAAATTAGTGTTTTTTTAAATAAAGAAACTGAGTAAAATATTGACATTATCCGGACATGTTATGAATAAACAACTCAAATTAATGAATTTTTGACTGGAAGGAATGATGAGATCAAATTTTTGAAACTTTAGTTTTGGATTTATATTCAAATATAGAATTAATAACTTCTAATTATAGTAAACTTATTGTAAATACAAAAATAAAATTCAAGCTATCCAATAAACAGTTATATATTACAGAGTTATGTGAAAAATAAATTAATTCATAAATATTTAAAAGAATCCTTTCTATAAATATTTACTGCTGTTGAAAGCTCTGTACTTTATTCTTTTCTAAAGTATGCTTTAAAACATATTATTTTCAAACTTTAGAGTAAAATTAAACTTAAAGTACAGTAACTGATGTAGTGGTCGCGCTTTAATATTAACAGTTGAATGTAGGAAGAATACTACCTTTTAATGGGCAAGTTAATCAAACCAATTCCATTTTTCATGGAAACCCTGTCTCTTGTTCGGTTCTTCCTTTGCAGCAATGGAGACGTGTAGTTTAAATGATTATTAGCATTTATCCAAATTTCCAAAACGACTTGCTCATCTGTATTCTAGATGCTGTTTTTGTTTATGCTCTTGGAGCTAGCTACCGGCTCACATAAATCTGCTAATCTAGTAGCTACCAACTATCAAGAAGACAGACATGGGTCAATCAAATTCAGACTGTATACGTCATTGTTTCATAGCAAAGTCACTGAGTTTTCAGATTCCTAACCCCTTCTAGTGTGATTGACAGTATTAATCTGTTGGTGACATAAATTCATTTCCATTTTTACTTTTAGTCATTTAAGATACTTGAATAGTTCAAAGAAAATTCACCTGTCAAACTAAATATTTTGTATGTTCTCATGCATTTATTACTCATCCCAGATAAAGGATGATTGATATATTTTCAATGCAGCAACTTAAGATAGTTTCCTCATATGAACATTCTAATATGCACATTTCATACACCATGCAGCATTTCTTTTCACTTAGTTGAACTCATCTATATGTTTTATAGAAACCCTCCATTCTAATACTCCATCCGGCTTAAAACAACAAGAAGAAGTCAAAGGACCACTTGAGAAGTATAGTGATTACGGCAGTACATGAAACCAGCATGGCCCGAAGTGACTGCTGAGTGTTCGGGCGATCGACCCTCCTGTGCATATCACCTTCTCTTCTAGAGCAGCCATCCTCTCCTTCAAGTGCAGCTGGAGGCGCTCGTTGGATTCTGTCAGAAGTCTGTCCACGGTGTCAGATAATCTTTTGTTGTGCTCCTCATTCATTTTTTCTCTTTGCCTAGCCTTATGTTCAAGAAAAAAAAAAGGAGAAGCTTCAAGAATTGACCTCAAAAAAATTACTTTGACTAGTATTTGGGCATGCTTTCATATGTCTGCTAATTTTAATAACAGATTTCATTTAATTTCTATACAGGGAATCCCAGGTAACGGACTTACATACAATTCATAGTTACAAACCAACCCCCAAAGTGCATCCCTCTGCCAATTTTGAGGTACATACAATGGCCCATAATAGCAAGTGGATGCTACTTTGCTTTCAACATCAAAACATTATTTTTGTTATGCTAACGAGGTTCGGTCTATTGCAAGTCCTTCTTTAATGTTTCTAAATGCATAGCAAAGTACACTATAATCAATGTATAATCAGTGTATAATCAATATACAAAGATCAACATTTGACTGACTCTAGATACAAACTACCCAAGAGTTCCAATTTATGCACAAGTTTAGGAGCAGGGATCATTTGAAACTGGGTACTTCCTGTTAGATTAAACTATTAGAAATTGTTACCTTTTAAAGTACACTGGACCTCTCATAAGATTATAAATCATTTTTTTAAAAATCCATCAAGGTATTATTTTCTTTTATGTAACATAGTCATCCTTCATATTTGATTGGTCATGGGAGTTTTTAATAGACATACTCTTTGATTTTATACATGTTTGATTGGTCATGGGAGTTTTTAATAGACATACTCTTTGATTTTATACATGTTTGATTGGTCAAGGGAGTTTTTAATAGACATACTCTTTGATTTCATACATGTTTGATTGGTCATGGGAGTTTTTAATAGACATACTCTTCGATTTTATACATGTTTGATTGGTCATGGGAGTTTTTATTATACATACTCTTTGATTTTATACATATTTGATTGGTCATGGGAGTTTTTAATAGACACACTCTTCAATTTTAAACATGTGTGATTGGTCATGGGAGTTTTTAATATGCATACTCTTCAATTTTATACATGTTTGTTCATGGGAGTTTTTAATATACATAATCTTTGATTTTATACATGTTTGCCTGGTCATGGGAGTTTTTAATATACATACTCTTCAATTTTATACATATGTGATTGGTCATGGGAGTTTTTCATAAACATACTCTTTGAAGCTCTTGATTTTTTTCTTCAAGTTGACCTTCCAGATGTCTCATGCGTTCTTCAATATTCCCATGTCTCTCTTCAGCCTATAAAAAATATGAAGAATTTCCTCACCTAGAATGTAAGCTTTGATTAACTCTTTTCTTCTAAATAAACTTAAATAAAATATAAAGCAAGCTACTATCAACCGCAAACATAGTTTTCAAAAAAATAAACTTTTTTTAAACAGGCAGCTGAACAGCATTGCTTGAAATGTGTCAGCTACAAAGGCCTGTTACATCCAAGCATCAGCAAAACATTGGAGTTAATTATGAGCAATGAAATCAGCCAAATGTAACATGCAGACTGTGCATGGTTTGAACACAAACCTGCCATTGTCCAATCTTAAGCTCCTGAAGCACTGAACTGCACAGATGGTCGATTATCAATAAATAAAAGTAACACAATTTTTAATAAAGGAAAAGAAAAAGTAGATGGATTCTATTTAGCAATAGAATGTAAAGTCCAGTAGGACTACCTTCCTACGTATGGAGATCATTTCTTGTAGTTTAGCTTCCATAACATATTGATAATCATCAGATGAGGTAGAAGAGGTTGGATCAGACTAACAAGTCAAGGAAAAGGAGAGGGACAAAATTGAAAAATCAGAACTAAAGACACTGACACAGAACAGAACATAGCACAGAATGCTTAACAGAAAAGCATGACAGCAAAGTTCATACTCTAATAGACAGAATCATATGTGGATAGAACGCTACGGATAACTGGTGAACATGACGCAGTTGATGGTTATAAATGAAGAACAGTGATATGCTAAAATCAAAAGCTATCAACCTAAGGTATGGAAAGTTAGTGATGGTTGGCAGGTGAATGACTATTACAGGATGAATCAAAGCAACTCTGAAAAAGTTATGTGATAATTGGAATTATGGGAAACCAAACACTAGAACATGTCTCTGATAAATTGTTAAAATTTTTGTAATTTTGTTTATTTGTTTAAACATAATATTTAAAGATCAGTGGAAACCATGTATATAATTATTGAGGAATATACTAAGGCAATTAAGGTATAATCAATTTGGAACAATCAGTATAAACCTTAATCTGTAGAGATAAGAACAAAAATAGCTAACCCACGGGGTTAATTATGAGTATTCCCAAATTCAAGTGGGATTGTTTCCTCAGCAACAGTGGCAAATTTAAGAAAATGATTTCTGGCTTCTGAATACATATTATGGTTGTCAGCCTAGAACCTAATCACCTGTTCTCAGACATATGTTCGATTTTAAATTTTAAATGAGAATGACTACATGTCCTCAAATTATGAACATTTTAAAAGTGCAATGAGGACAAGAAAATGTATCTTAAGCTTTCCCAAACTCTCCTTGTTGAGGGGCCAGTCCAGCATGGTTGCTACCTTAATTCATTGCTATGGAAAAAAAATAGTGTCCTAGAGTGAACAGACAGCACAGTGCCTTTGTGAACTAATGGAAGCCCAGTGCCAAGGTTAGTTACATGTCTTGAAGGTGATTGTCAGGTTACCACAGGTGCACCATGTTCAACACATGTGACATTGCTGATAGTTGAATTGTATTAGTATACCATGTGCAGATTACACTGTCAGTTACATTAACATTTCAAACATTAACATTTCAAACATTATTAAAAGTCAAGTCATTATAACAATATTCAAAGGACCCAATGCTATGCCAAAATTTTAACTCCAGAACACATTTATCACATTTTATAAAGTCATTGTAAATCAGAGTATTTATTTTATGCAAATATACACCTATATAAAACTACATTGTGCAGTATCTGAAAATTGTTAGGTAACTCATATTGATTCACATGCATGTGTTCTACTTTATACAAGATATTTCCATTTAATTTATGAAATACATATTTCACATTTGGTGTGCTTATGTACATTATAATTCAACATTTACATTTTATAAGATTTGATAAGTGGGACAATTAATGAATAAATAACAAATAACCACTCGCCCCGCCTTTCCGTCCCAAATTTCCAAGAGGAAGCATATATCACAAGGTATCATAGCAAGAGACCATAATCCTCAAGTGCCGTGAAATATTTTTATAATCTGTTTAAAATCATGCATTGTTTTAAGATATAATAAATGTGTAAAATGTTGCCGAATTATATAACCTAAACTCATAAAGCTAGCTACTATTTCTTAAAAGTTCATTTTACCCATCAGCTGGTGGCACTAAATTTAATCAAATGACTGATTCAAGGTAATCAATATATATAAGGTTTAACTTCCCAAACTATTCAAATTCAAAATTATTCATAAGGCCTATCTATTCGCATCTTAACTGTTAGAATACATATAACATCTCAAATATTCACTTCATAGATGGAAAAATAATTTGATCCCTTTAAAATTACTATGTTAACACTGATTTTTTTATTGGTCATAAAAATGCATGAGATACCTCCTGGAATAAAAAATGAATTATGTCCTTGCTGAAGGATTATGCACTTAATTATAAAAACAGAGCTAAAAAAATCATAGGTTTAAGGAAACAAAAATACGATTAATTAATTACATTTATGTTTGCAATTTTTAAAAGTTTATAGTCATCAGTTACATTGCTGATTTTCCCAAGTCCCTAAATGAGCTTCTGTAGTATATGCATATGTATGTACCCCACATATGTATATATCTCGCATATGCATATACCTCACATGTGTATATACCTCGCATATGTATATACCTCACATATGTATATACCTTGCATATGTATATATCTAGCCTATGTATCTCGCATATGTATGTACCTCGCATATGTATATATCTAGCATATGTACCTCGCATGTGTATATACCTCACATATGTATATACCTCGCATATGTATATACGTTGCATATGCATTTACCTCGCATATGTATATACCTCACATATGTATATACCTTGCATGGAACACACACATATACACACATATAACACATTATTAACTGCTGTCATGTTGGCACCCACATCAACTTGATCTGTAGGATTTACACAGGTTGACTTTGGGGAATAGATCACTAGATCTTTTTTCCTACTCTGCTCTAGTGTGTGTCCTTTCCGTAAATCTCTTCAGCATCATAGTAAGTCACAAGCCTGCACTGACAGACCAGTGGCGGCTCCCTTGAGAAGCACTGTGTGGCCACAAAACGTGGATCTCGCACAAGGAAGAAAGGACTCTACCACTGCACCACCATTGCCTTCTGTACTCACACGAGAGGGGAAAACGGTGGCTTTAGTAACACAAAGTAAATGTAGACATCGTTTCTTAGAAACACGGATTAATGTCAATAATCACGATTGACTTGTGTGCATCTATACCTTATGAAAACTATACTTGAAACTTGCTGTAAATCCAAGGGTCACAGAGAAACAATAAGCTATTGTTTTGTTTTTGCCCCTTGGTTTAAAGGAGAGCTTACTGTTTCATTTTTAATGTGATACTGTAAAAATTCATGGAAAAACACAGGCAGAAATTGTTTGAGTAAAAGGGTGAGTATATTCAGAACAGGAGAAGAAGTAAAAGTTAAAGTGTAGATGACCTAAAAAGAAAGAAAAATAAAGGTGGCAGTTAGTAAACATAGAGAAAAAATATAGGCTAAATAAAATATCTGAGGAATTGTTAAGAATCATATTTTAAATTATAGAAGAGGGGAATTTATGTTTATACTAAGCAGTATTTTCCTTTTACTTTAGTGCATAGCCAAGAAAGAAAAGAAGTTCAAAAAAACTCTCATGGTCAAGAATATTATAACACTGAAGATGAACGGCAACGGAAGGAAAAAGCCGCTCTGGAGATGCACTGTGCAGGTTGTGACAACGCAGGACAGGACGACAAGTACAAAACCCTGAAGCCATCGATTTGGAAGAATCATTTAAATGGTCACATTTACAAATGTTATCAAAATAAACCAAAGGAGTATATTGAGGAAAGATTTCAACCTTTAAGGAGCTTCCATATGAATTAATCATGGTGGTATAATGCTAAAAACTGTATATCTGAATAATCCTGTTGATAAAGAACTGGTCAGAAAAAAAGTATAGATAAGAAGGTTGGATTCTATCATTTGAATACTCTTATAAAGTATAAAATTATTTTAAAATATGAAAACACCAAGAGGGTAAAGAGGGAATGGAATTTCGGCAATGAATTACGTTAGAGGACGATGGGGAAATGATTTTGTGTGCACAAATGACTATAACACATTAAGTGCCCAAGAGAATTAAAGAGAAAGAAAAGAAGGAGACATTCCTAGTCATTTACATATATACATATTTATATGCCTAGTGGTGTTGCCAAGTAAATATTGATTGGACTACTAACCATAAGCTTGGTGGTTCAAATCCACCAGCTATCCACAGGAGAAAGATGGGGGTTGTTGGCTTCTATAAGGTTTATAGCCTTGGAGAGAAAGACTGGGTTTTTGACTCCTACAAACAGCTGCAGTCTGGGAAACTCACAGGGCGGTCTACCCTGTCCTATATGGTTGATATGAGTTGGCACTGACTCAATGGTAGTGGACTTTGTGTGGCTATCTATCTATCTATCTATTTATCTATCATCTATCTATATCCTAAATAAAAAAATCATAGTGAATTTTAATTTTAAATAGAACACATTAAATGTTATAGTTTAAATTCTATTTTATTCTCCATAAAGCAAATATAAGTTAGGGCAAGTATTATTGAATTTTGTGTGTCCATATTTTTCTGGTGTATAAGGGTTATACACCTGATTCATTATTTTACATGAAAGTTTTAGATAAATGATTCATTATTTTACATGAAAGTTTTAGATAAATGATCATCAAGTTACTCTTCTACCTGCTGTACTCCCACAAATGGAGCAAATGATCAGGGCAAATATTTTCAAAAACTCTTCCTGTTCTTTTGATTAAAAACATATATCTCTATATATACATATACATACATATCTCCATTTTACACTACTTTC